AGGAAGGAAGGAAGGAAGGAAGGAAGGAAGGAAGGAAGGAAGGAAGGCTGTTTCTCCTGTCTGTGATCAAGGTTCACCATTAGGCTTTTTGGCTAATAGATTTGGTATAATAAATTCAAATGTAATTTTATAATTGTTTTATACTGTTCTACTACATTATTGATTCTAAAACTCATAACTCAGGGTTACTAGGTAAGAGTTTTTGTCTAGTTCTGTTAAACTATGATATGATTCCAAAGATACCCTAAATTGAGATACATTAATTTTAGGGGTACTCACTTGTTTACGGTATTAAAACGTGGTCATTATGCTCTTATCTTCACTCTCAAAACATTTTTTTAAAAAATAATCATTGCCCTAGAAGTATGTTTAGTCTTGTTTTCTAAATTATAGCCTTAGACTTTTATGTGCTGTAGAGCTTTTATAAACTACGTCGTACAAAAACCTGTTATGCTCTCTCTTTATGGACTATGTTTATGTTTTTTTAAGGCTCCAACTTCACAGGGATGAAACCTAAAGTCTTAGTCTTTAATGATTGAGTGGCTTTTTATTGATTGAAGGATTAATCTTTATGTAGTACATATACCTACAGAATATGTATATGTATACATATACCTACAGAATATGTATAATCACAGATCATAGAATTCTGTTTTATGTTTGCAAGGTGTGGTTTAGAGCAGATAACTAAGTACAGGCTTAGATTGCCTAACTCAAATATGCTGGCCTTCAGACCTCTCAGAGATCTGCTGAATATAGCATTTAACGTGCTTAAACGTATTGTGACAGAGGGAGTCCCAAATCCTAGCAGTAGCTCCCCAAGGTCTCCGAGAAGAGTCGAGTACTGACAGACGACTTCAGCTCTGGACTGTGGTATGCTAACCACTGGGCAAGACTTCCCCAACTTCTCACCCTCGCTAGGGCCCAGCCTGAACTGTGGACAAACTGAACACCTGGAGAGTCATTGCTGAAAAGTGAAGTGAGGTCAGTCTCTCACATGTTCCTCCACAGAGAAAGCCTCTCGTCCTCTGTGCCTGATGGCCAGACTGTCCCTGGCCACATTGCCATGAAAACCACAGGAGCCTGATAACTGTCCAGATAATGGACTATGACTCACTAGTCATCGCTGTCTTTTTGATAGAAACATAGATTTATTTAGATAACAATTCATCCTTCTCAGGTCTCTGATTATGTTGATGGCTAAGACAGGCCTTAAGCCTCACTCCTAGAACTGCTGCTGTCAGGTCTAGAGAGTCTGCCTTGTTACCAGACTCACCTTAAAGACTGTTGATGCTGTTAACACAAAGCTGTATGCCTACTGCCG